TATATGAATTCTAAGCAAATCCCCTTTCAAACTGAAAAAAATTTTCGCCTGCGGCGCAATAACAGTATATAATCTGTGACATAGTTTATATAGAACGGGATCTGAGAAATGAGAAATATTTGTTTTTTGATCAGGGTAACCATCTCCAAATCACTAAAATAGGGCGCTGTAGCTTGATCATGAAGCTAAATATAAATATCTAGCTTGAGAGAAAACAATCCAATTTTTAAATTACTAAATAAAACTGCAAAATTTCAATAGCTTTAAATTAATAGAAATTTTTTAAAAAAATTAAAAAAAAGAACATATTTTTATTTTCAAAAATCATTAATATTTAATCAGTTTTATTCAAAAAATGTTCAAAAAAGTTTGACAATTTATAGCAAGTTCCACCCATTGGATAATGCTTAAATTGATGAGAAAGCATTAACCTAAGTGCATATTCATTTTCAATACTACGACAAATTAATCGACTACATTCAGCCAATCTTTGAGCCCCTTCAATTAAGCCTAATCTTCGTTGATTATATCGAAGTAAAATTTGTGTGTATTTATTGGATTCGTCTAAAAGTAATTCTTTTCCTTCAGCAGACAAGTCTTTAGCATCTTTTTATGAAAAAATTTAGGGCAACTTAAATTAATTTAAAAAAAGCTCAAGTACAGAGTAAAAACCGGGTTATCCGCAATCACGCACCGAAAATTGAGGAAATTCGGCTTATTAAGCTTCCAAATTTTCCAAAATTTTCGCCAGGTGCGCTATCTGTGTTTACATCTTAAAGGGAATTTAGCAGGAATATCTAGGGATCACAAGTTCTTTTTTTTCTAGGGATCACGAGTTTGAAGCCAAACCAAAAATAAGAATAGGAACCGAATCACTGGCACCGCTTATGACCTTTACAAATCAGGGATTTTCGGATCCGCTCAATCATGATACGGTCTACAGTTTACGCATACAGTTGGTGGTCCATGGCATAGAGTTCCGGCATAGGGGACCTCCCTTAATCCATCCAAATTCTTTGATATACTCCGCCCGGCAGAGGTAATTATATGAGAGAGGGTAATTATTTCAGCATACATATACGGTATTCGCCTTCACAAATTAAAGTTTTTACTTGATTTTGTAAGAATAATAGCTATTAACAAAGCAAATTCAACTTTTTTTAATGCAGCACGTTTAAAGTAAGCAACAGATTTTGTAAATGAGTAATCTGTCCATTTAATCATTCTAAAAATTAAAAAAATATTTTTCATATCTTCTCAATCAAAAATTTTTTTGAAATTTTTTTTTTATAATTTTATTGATAAAAATTTATTTACTTATAATCCTGAAATAATACACTATTCTTCATAAGACCGAGAGCAGGCATAACACCATCTTTACGTGTCCATGTTTCAGAACCTAATTCCCAAGCTAAATAGGAGCTTGTAAATGATGTAAATACATAGGAAGCCTGTCTTAGATGTGCAACCTATTTTATAAAAATAAAAAAAATAGTTTTTGAATTGATTAAGCTTTCTATTCTGCTTCATAAATATAGTAGTATTTGTAAATAAGAAAGCCACTTAATGAAAACAATTTTCAAATTGTTTCTTGGCGGGTTCGGGTCTCGGATTTTAGTCAATATGTAGTTAAAGGCAGAATCCATTAAAATATATCTTAAAAGTTGATGGGATTAACTCAGAACTCTCTGAAGCAATCTACTAGATTCGTACTCGTTGACTTGTAACAGTACCTGATCAGATAAAGTCAATTTTTCAAAAACAGGTAAAGATTTAGCTATACTAAAACACAAAAGTCTGTCAACTAAACAGCATTTTTGAACTCTACTATTAAATATTCCCTCAGTTTGAAATGAAGATTCCCAAGTATTTAATTCATCAAAAGGTATTGGACTTGGATTTGGCTTTAAAACAAAATTAATTTTCATTGAAAATTTAATTAAAATTTACCGAGAAGATATCAACTAAACGAAAAATATTAAAATTAGATAAAATTATTTCTTCAAACAAAATCGGGCCTTTAAGGAATATATCATCCAAATCATTAAATGCATGCATAATACGTTTTTTGGCTTCAATAATTGGTAAAATTGAGTTTATTTGCTGTTGGTCTCTGATGGATATGTCGACAGTTAGGGAATTTTGTATCTTAAAAATAGAGAGAATTACATATGTAATTCCTGTCTTGCTTGTATAAGTATAAGCGCCCTAGTCTTTGTTACTTTGGGTATTCAACAGAGTACCTACATAAGCCTCATCAAAAATTAAAAGAATTTTTATCAAGAAAAATGCCATTTTACATTAACCTTCCTAATTCCCAATCAAAAAATAATTTACGTTAATTTCATTTCTTTGTTTTTCCATCGCTTCCCGGCGTATATCTTGCCGTACATATCCAACATCTGAAATTCTTTTCAAATTATTTTTAAATATTTTGACAAACCCAATCTTTTCATTCCAACAGAAAAACATTTTTCAAGTCTACATTTTTTGCAATCTGCCAAATTTATTTCGGATTTTTCTTTATTTAAAAATTGTTCTTGCAAACATTTATAAGTACAGTCATTATATTTTAATTTATTTTCGTTTTCAAGATAACGCCTTTTGAGAAAAAATTTTTTGAAATTAAACAAAATAAAAAATACCTGAAAAAAGCCCCACAAGCCCTACATGTACGGACACCGTAATGGAAACAAACTTTATCTTTTGTTCCACATACTTTGCATTGTTTAATGGAATTTCTTTGCATTTTTAAAATAAATGGATATTTTTTCTAAATAAAATATAAATAACCGAAGAGGATTGTGACAATGCTTAATTATAATGACAAAAACGAAATAGGGGAATTTTAAAAAATTTTTAGAGGTTTGGCGTCATAACGGTAAAGTCCCAAAAACTGTTTTCCTATGGCGATATGTACCCCCCAACTCTGCTTTCTAGAACCGGTATTGTGATAATTTCAGAAAGAATTTCATTACATAAATTTAAGTTTTAAAATGTAAAGCTTTGCAAGGCTATCTAGTAAATTTGGTTTCCATTTTGTATTGTATCGTTATCAAGTATATGTATTTCTGAAGAAAAAGGGAGAAAATAAAATTCGGGGATGTTAACGCTTAGAACCAAAAAATTTAAATAATTTTGAGATACTTATATGAGAATAATTTTATTTTAATAGAAAGTATTTAATTTTAATTTTTCTAAAAAATTAGCAGCTAAACAAATAAATTTTCTAAAAAGATATTCGAAAATTAAATAAAAAACTTTGATTTTTAAGCCATGGTTAAATTTTTTGAGCCACCAGCTTCAATATAAAAAAATTTGAGCCACGAAAATAATTTTCGTGGCTCAGAAATTATTTAATTTTAATTTTTTTTAAATTATCAGCTAAACAAATATATTTTCTAACAAAGTATAATGAGATATTTTAATGGCAAATTTTATTATCTTTATTGACAAGTTTTATAATCTAAAAACAATGTATATTATGGATGTGCCGAAGGTAATTTCAAAAGACGAACGGCACGAGGCGAAAGAAAAATGCGAAATTCAATAAATGATGGAAGGCAAAACCTGCCCAAATCTCTCGATATACTCAATTCCTAAAAATCCTTAATCTCCCTTGTGTCATTCATTCATCTTGATCCAACCTAATCCATATTAATATCCCGGCCCCAACCATATTTGAGTTTCAGATTAATTTTTCTTTTTTATGTAGTAATTTATTTTTCTCAAACATATTTCACCCAAATCTTAATTTCTCCAAATCCATCGACATCCCTCAAAATCCACCAAAATCCTCCTTAATTTACCGATATCCATTTAATCCTGCCAATTTTTATACCAATAGATTGTGTTTTACTTACTACAAGTAAAAATCAGAATTTTATCTTAACTTCCTAATAATTATAAAATTTAAAAGATGCTTGATTGAAATAATCAGTTGCCTATCTTCCTCATTTTGTTTTTTAAAATAAGTCAGGGCTCATTCCTGGTGTACAACTCATTTTAGTTTCAGCATAGGTTCGTCTGTATAAATAAAAATTTCAAGATCTCCATTAATTTAAGAAACTCAACTAAATCCCAAAAATTTTTTGGTATTTTAAAATAATCTTTTAAAAATTGATTAAAAAGCTTTTCCTCTTATCAATAACGTTAATTTTAATAATATGAAATATTAAATATATTTTTATAAATATAAAATACAAAAATATAAAATATTTTTTATTATTTTTTATTGCTTCTAAATTAAATGATAAATTTATTAAATAAATCTTTTATTGTTTAAAAATAAATATTTCATAATTAAAATGATTCTATATTAAATTTTGGGGTTTAATTATGAGGGCGGTTTTTCTTTTTGTAATTCTTAACCCTTATCATTTACTAAGTATCAAATTTATTTAAGGGATTTAACAGTGATTTTTAGGGTTGTACCCCATCCCCGAAAGTCGAGGAATTTGAGAGAAAAAAACCCCCCGAAAATTTTTCCCGTGCCCCCCCCCCCCCCCGTCAGGGAACAACCATAGTGATTGTATTATACAAAACCATTAATATTCTTGTACACACCGTCATCACAAAGAATTGCCTTAGAAAAAAATTTAAAAAAATTGAATTAAAAATATCGGAAAAGCTATCTGAGATTCTTTCCATTTGTCAATCAAAAAAATCCAAAACCAGAAAATATGTTCCAAAATTCTTTCCTATCTTTATTTGTTTGAAGAATAAAGAACAAAAGTAATTAAAGCTAAGAATTTTGCCATTTTTTATTTTCTTACATAAAAACAATTTATGACGAGTTTTTTTGATTATTTATAAATAAAAATGAGAAGTTTTTTTGTTTAAATTTTATCAGATAAGAAAATAAAAGTGTTCGGTTAAACATTCAATATTTAAAATATAAAATTTTAATTATTAATTAATTAATTAAGAAACAAAAATCTCAAAAATTATTTTTTCTTTAAATTTTCTCTTCAAAAAAATTTTTTTTCGCCTAAAATAAAATGCCTTTTATGGGATTAAAAGGATCAAAAGGAATTTACAAAGTTCAACCAATTAATAAAGAAATTTCTGTAAATAATAATGGCGTTAATAAAATAATAATTGAAGAAGAACGGAAAACAGAATGGGGATTAATTTATTTGTGTGCTTTATTTACATTTACTGCTTCTGTTCAATTTACTTTGTTTTTTACTTCTTTATGGCCTTTTATGCAAATTGTATTTATTTTTAAATTTTTTTTTGATAATAAATTTATGGAAGGGAATGTAACCTGTATACATTTCATGCCTTGAAGGAGAAAGTAAATCTTGCATAGTTTAGTCAATAAGGGTTTATGGATGTCTGGTCTTAAGTAAAGTCCTACAAAACATGATTGTTATTATAGACCGGGGTCTGGGAGTGTCGTACGAAAATCGAAATCGAGATCTCACTAAATTCTTCGTACGAGAATCGAGATCTCGAAAAATTCCCAATCGCGATAACTGAGATTTTCGATTCGAGATCTCGTCTCGGTTCGGTCTCTAGTTGTTATCCGTTTAATTATCCAAAATCGACTGGCGGCTTTAATTATTTTATCAATTATACCGGAAGGGAATTTTACGGCCTTACACACTAATTAAAGATTATTAAACTTTTATTAGTTTATTATTAATTTATTAGTTGGACGATTCAGTTACTGTCACCTTTTTTGGTGCAATAATAGCAATGTATTCTCTTTCACAAATTGTTGCCTCTCCACTACTTGGATTTTGGTCTACTCGAATTGAAAAGCTTAAACCGCCCTTGTATTTTTAATTAAATAATTTGTAAAAATTTTTTTAATTTTAGAATGATATGCAATTTTTTAATGTTTTTAGGCAATTTTCTGTATTGTTTAGTTGAATTATTCCCCTTGAGTATGTCAAGATACGTGATGCTTGCTTCTAGATTTACGGCTGGTATTGGATGGGGTAATTAAATATATTTTAATTTTTTTAAGGGTTGGACAAGTGATATTTTGGTGTCATTGCTGTAGTTATTCATTCCCTATAGGGTTGAGCGGGATCGGAATCCCGGTCGGGATCGTGCGGGATTATCCCGTTTTAAATCCCTATCCCGATTCTTCTGATCCCGAATCCGGGGATTGACGTCGTTATTCCAAAATCCCGATCCTGATTTTATGTAGGTCAGGATCCCGATCCCGCTCAACTCTAATCCCCTATATACATATTCTCTTTGTTTCAAACTTGAAAAATTCAAAAAGAATATTTTTAAGCACAAGTTGGCCTATTGAAATCATTTGCCTCATCAGCATCCATAAATAAAGACAGATCAAGAGCTACAGCTTTTATAACTGGCGGAATGGCTTTAGGCTCTACAATTGGACCTGGTAGAGGGAAACAAAAAATAGTTTTAAGTTTTGAATTTTCAGCATTCCAAATACTTTTTACTTGGATTGGATATCCGGGATACCCTATTTGTTTAGATATTTTTGGTTTGCCTAAATATTGTTTGAATATTTCTATGTTTACTGCACCAGCTTTGGCTGCATCTATTGTTAATATTTTTCTTTTATTTTTGCAGGTTGGAATAATTAAAAAATACTTTTTAAATTAAAAACACAAAAATATTTCGTGTATGATAAAAATCTTTTTAATTTTTGAATTATCTTCGGGGTTTGAACCTAGAAGACAAATAACGTTGTAAAATAATTTCTGATTTCTTAATACAGTCAGACCTCATTAGGTATAATATCAGATATACAATATCAGATATACTTTATTTAAGATAACCGGGTTTTAAAATCTGTATGAAGACTACCCACCCTTAATTTAAAATATCCCCTCATAATAATTTAAAATTAATTATTCAACATCAATTGTGTTTTAACGAGTGCAAATGATCATTATTTAAATATATTCGAAAAGTATTATAATTCCTAAATTTGGAATACGAACCGCTAGTAGAACCAAAAATCTTCAGGTTTTCGAGTCGTCTTGAAACCGAAAACCTCTAATTATAAGACTGCTTTTTTATAATTTTTGTCCAAAATCTTCAAAAAATTTTTTCTTAAATTTTATTTTTAATATTTAATTTAAATTAAAAAATTTTTTTCTTTAAAGATTTTTTGGTTTAAAGAAAGTTATGTTGGAATATTAAAACGCAAAGCGGATAAGGAAAATTTGAATCCCCCAAAATTACCTCCATACGATCGTTTGGCTGTAGCAGCTTGTTATGCCATTAGATTTACTCAATTCTTTATTTTTACAAATATTGAAACGTTTGACAAAAAAATTTTTTAATTTTATACGAAAATCATTTAAAGTATTGGGACAGAATTTGCAATGATGATGTTTATGTGGTCCCCTACAGATGTTGTTTTTTGGGAAGCTATAGCTCACTCAATTCGTGGCCTTTTGGCTTTAAGCACTTATATCTGTTATATTGTTTTTAATTTGGGTGAAAAGTTTGTTTTTTTGAGAGAAAAAATATTTTGTAAATTTGGTAGTTTTGGGGCTTTTTAGTTCTCTAAAATTATGTTAAAATATTTTTTAAGCCTTTTTAGTTGAAGTTATCGAAGAATTAAATTAAAACCTTCCTGTACATTTTAAAATTAAGTTCCAAATTATTCAGCCAAAAGGTCGAAATTTTTTGATTAAGGAAGATATTACTTAAAGATACTGTCGGCTTGCATATAAGATAGGCATAATAGTAGATATCCACCATTTGGGATATAGGTATTTTTTAAATTTAGTTGGCCATTAAATGGGGGTAATCAGGCGATAAGCGCTCTATTTAAGATACACTTCATCATAAGATACAGCATTTCTGCCCTGAGAGTGTATCTTATAGTGAAGTCAGAATAATATTTTTATTTAAATCATTTTTTACTTTCTACAAAAAATTCCTTTAAAATTCAGAGTAAATGATCGTGTAGTCTGCTTATTTTCACTTATTGGACTCCTTCTTTTTCACGTTTTTACTTATTCATGGCCTTTTCTATCCGAAAACGTTCAACTTTTTGATGACCAAAAATGTTTGATTTTTTCGAAAATTAAGCAAAAAAATTTTTATAGTTCACAGAAACGCTTCAACAGCATTAGGGTGTGATTGGCGTTCAATGAATTGGTGTTTAGATTTAAAACAAATAAATATATGGGTTTATTATTTCTCTATAATTATTTTTATTGGACTAAGTTTTCCAAATATTAATGTTACAATGAATACTTTATTCTCTCGAATTATTGGGCCGAGAATGCAAGGAACACAACAAGGAATACTTGAAATGTTTGGAGGAATGGGGAGAATGACTGGGCCACTCGTTATTGGGTTGGTTATATGTTTTGATCAGGGATGTCACGGGTTACCCGAAACCCGAAACCCGAAACCCGGCCTTTTTTTCGACCCGATACCCGAAACCCGATCCGAGAAATTTTCTAAAACCCGACCCGAAACCCGACCCGAGAATTTTTATTTTTCAAAACCCGACCCGAAACCCGACCCGAGTTTTCTCAAAATTTTCGCCCGCGTCGCAGAAAAAGGGAAGATTTTTAGCTTAATGATCTTCCAAAATTCTGAAAATTTTCGCCTGCGGCGCTGAAAAAGGAAGAAATCTGGCTTCGGACCTTCAAGAATTCTCAAAATTTTCGCCTGCGGCGCTGAGAAGGGAAGCTTTTTGGCCTTCCAAAATTCTCAAAATTTTGGCTTTTTTTTCAACCCGAAACCCGATCCGAAGAAAATTTTGAAAACCCGATCCGAAACCCGACCCGACTTTTTGCTCAACCCGAAACCCGAAACCCGATCCGAGAAAAATTTTGGACACCCGACCCGAAACCCGACCCGACATTTTTCTCAACCCGTGACATCCCTGGTTTTGATTGAGATATTTTCAAAATAAAGTAATGGCGCAGAAATTTTGATGCACTCTATTAGTGGAAAATATCACAAAGCGATATCTATAGTTAGCGTTTTCCTGGTTTAAGGAATTGGGTTCAGATAATGCGCTTACAAACTCGAATTCGGACAACGGAAACGCGGAACCATCAAAAATTAGGAACCGTCAAGAAACCATTCAAAGTTTGAAGCGGAGACAGCCTATAACTAAGAACTTTTACAAACTATTATACCTATATTCATTGTACACCTATACAAATTCATTGTACTTATATCTAATATTTTTAAAGTTATCTTTATCGAACATACGGGACAAGAACAATTTGGATAATGGAATCCATTGAAGTTGGTATAATGATTCTCTTCTGGCTTTTATGTTATCGAAGACTTGTTCCATTAAATATACTAACAGAAATGGATGAAAATGGAAAGGAAAATGGAAAAATATAAAAGAAATTTTAGTAAATAAATTTTTGTTTAAAAAATTATTGAGAAAATGTTTGTTTATTTGATAGACAATTAAAAATATTAAAAATAGGATGCTTAAAAATATAGTGAATGGATATAGGTGAGTAAATACATATTAGTGTATCGGTAGGCCTGACTACCTATTTTGTTACAACTATGAATTATATATTTATCGTTTTTTTTCCTCACATTTTTTCATTATTGTCTGAATTATCTCTATTTTTTTTTAAATTTTTATTTGTTTTCTTTTTATAATGTTGTTTCTTGTAACAAGAAGTACATAAATGGTTTCCAGATTCTGAATCACGGTAGTTAACAAATTTTGCAGATCCGCAAATATAACATTGACGTTTTTGTTTGATTGGAATTTGCTAAAAAAATTATTTGAATTTAAAATTCAATTTTATAATTATAATATTTTAAAATAATTTTTTGGATAACCTTTTTAGTTTTAACCCATAATTCTTTTGGTCTAAACTTTCCATTATTCTGATGCCCATAGACGAAACATGCTTTGCACAGATTTTGTTCATTTAGGTATTTATACCATTGTATCGTTTGCTTACGTGGCGCGAACTTTGCGGACCCGAATTTTGCGGACCCGAACTTTGCGGACCCGAAATTTGCGGAACGAAAGTTGCGGACCCGAAGGTTGCGGACACGAAGTTTGCGGACCTGATTTTTGCGGAACCAAGATTTTAGGGCAGACACTTGAGTAAAAGGAAAAAATTAAAAATTTTATTTTTCGATGATCCCGGCAGAGTTTACCATGATCCGTACCAGATCAAGATTTTTTCTTGATTTTTCAAAATTTTTATCAATTTTTTATCAAAAAATTATTTCATAATTTAAATAATCGAGAAAATTCCTTGAAGAAATCATTTATATGGCCATCCCATAAAGTCATGATGCCTGAATTTATCCTAATTAACGCCGCAGGCTAAAATTTTTGAAATTTCCAAGGTTCAGTAGACTCTATTGTCGGTCCGCAAAATTTTGGTCCGCAAATCACAGATCCGCAAAATTCGGGTCCGCATAGTTCTGGTCCGCAAAATTCGGGTCCGCAAAGTTCGGGTCCGCAAATTTCGGGTCCGCAAATTAAAATCCGCAAATTTCGGCGCGCCTTTGCTTAACTCCACAATTAAAACAATACCGTCCTTCTCCTTCAATAATTTCATCTATAATAATTAAATACTTATTTTGGAAATACAGTATCTACAAAGCGACCCGTATTTACAAATGGAATTTCTTCGTTAAAAAATTAAATTTAACCTTAAAATATTTAAATTTTTTGCGCCTGCGACGCAAAAAGCCTGTGGCAGACCTTTATCAGCTTGTTCTTTACAAAATTAGATCCTTCTGTGTATCTTTTTTATCTAAGTTTTTGTTTACTTTAATGGAGATTATCTCAGAGTGATTCACGATATTACATATCTTACTCGAAATATAAAAATTTTACTTATTTTATTGCCAATATAAACAATTCTCTCGTTTTCTTCCTTTGAATATTCAACTTTTTGTTTATTTAATAATTCAATTTTATATGCAATTAAATTAATTTCTGACCAATAACTTGATGAAAGTTTGTTTTCATAATTTTCCTTTATTGAGTTTAAATCTTTGAAATTTTTTATATTTTCTAAATTCTCATCTAATATAGATGTTTCATAACATTTATTATCCGTTTTATTGAAAGTATTATTTTGGAGTATCTAAAAATATAATTATAAACTAATTTCTGACCAAGTGTGTAACATAATTATAATATAAAGGAGGTAAAAATAATTTAACTAAATACGGAAGAAAAAAATCCACAAAAATTTTTGTGAACTTATCTATCAATATAGATAAGAAAGACAAAAGAAACGAAGTTTTAATATACTTCCATAATCGAGATCTTGAAGACAGAAAATCAACGGAAAACCGGGAGTGACGTCTTTAAAAAATATTTTCGTCCCCTTACAGGTCAGATAAAAATTTTATTATTGGCTTATTTGAAAGCCCTTGAAATTTGCTACAAGATAGCATTAATTTTATTTTCCGAAAAAAAATTTAACTGTAAGACCTAATGTGATAAACTTTCAGGTCATAGAAATCACTCAAACGCCCCCCAAATGGCGATAAAATTTAACTTATAAACTAAACTATCTTGTAGCAAATTTCGAGGGCTTTCAAATAAGCCAACAATAAAATTTTTATTTTATCTGTAAGGGGTCGAAAATATTTTTTAAATACGTCACTCAAGATCTCGATGC